CTATATATATATATATATATATATATATATATATATATATATATATATATGTATAATTGGATCAAATTAAGTCATAGTTAATTAATCTTACCGGGTGCAGGTGAAGTTGCCATGGTTACGTTGTTGTTCTCTAGAGTCGGCTGCAGGTAGACGTTACTGCTCCTGCGTCGCACACACGCCACGGCTTTTATGTCACACCCATGCAGATGGCACAACCCGGTGACATAGAATTGTTACCGCGCATGAAGCTATTAGACGACAATCAACCACTAACGACTTTTTTGACACAGTTTCATCATAGCGTTCACTTAGTAAAATGCCCCGTAGCTGTCTAGTGCGCTAGAATATTCGTTTTAATCACACGGCAGGCTCGTTCACTGTTAGATAGCAACCTAATTCTGGATTCGTAGACGTCGTCATTCCTTGCAATATCTGTATAATGTCATCTGAGAAACACCGATCTCGTTTGCTTATATAGCTATGAGATCACCGCGGTGTGAGGCTTACAACCTCCACACAGATACAAATGTTGCTCGAGCGTGTATATAGAAGCTAGTTAACAGCATGATATAAGCTTGATTCATGAGCTTGAGCTTGTGTCATTATAATGTCACATATAGGTTGCCTCCGAGTGTCTCTCTCGATATTGTTTTGCAGACACTCACGCGGTGACTGCGGGCCACGTAGCGGACACCCCGTCTGCACCTGCATGTCTAGTTCAACTTCAACCATATATCATGCTATTGCCCCATTAGTGCTGCACCGCGAGGCGTACCAGCGAAGCAAACATCAACTCCGCTACCACTCTCTGCTGTGATTTATACATTATTACAACAGCTGCATGTGACGTGTATACTAGATCTAGACGGCCTATAGGACCGACGACCCGTAGGACCAGCGGACCGTAGGACCAACGATCCGTAGGACCAACGACCCGTAGGACCAGCGGATCGTAGTACCAACGACCCGTAGAACCAACGATCCGTAAGACCAACGACCCGTAGGACTAACGACCCATAGGACTAATGATTCGTCCGACTATACAAGCTGACCCCACCTTCTCTCTCTCTCTCTCATATCCGTTTATCATGGAGGTGGTTACAGCGAGCATATGAGAACGTTTGACAAACATCATATTCCCTCCTATTCCTATCGCGAACGATATTGGGGTATATATAGCTATTATAGTAATAATTTATAACAGAACGACAGCAACACCTGACACATATGCCTGCCAACCGACACGAAGACATGGTGCATAAGATCAATAAAGGGTAATGTAAGATAATCGCACGGTTTAAGATCGATCGCATCGATCAGGGGGTCTACGCACACGCGCACGCACGCACGCACGCACACGCACATACACAAACACACGCACGTACGCACGCACGCACATGGATTACTAGCTCACTAGCTCTTGATGATATATATATATATATACCATATCGACAACGCACCCATATTAAAGAGGTCACACAGTCTCTTATTCCGTGTTCTTCTTCTTTAGCTCTAGCTTTGTCAACAAATATAAGTGATATATGAACATTGTGGTTATGACCTAATGTTATGACCTAAATGTGAGCTTAAATTTTATGTGGCATTATAATGACTTCAAACCTCAAGCTTACATGATGTATATATTACATGATGTATGTACATGATGTATATAATATATATATATATATATATATATATATATATATACCCTCGAGCAACATTTGTATTACTGTCACACTGTGTAATAATAATTGAGAATATAAAGAAACATAAGCCACATCATCAGTCAACGCTAGTTAATACTAGTAAAATAAACCAAGCGTCATCGCAATCCTCAATAATAGAAATTACGTCTTAAAATTATCCATTCACTATTATACCACTATGAGAAACATCGGTTTCCTTAGCTCGAATGATGTCACCGTTGTCTCCTTTGACTCCATTCTGGGAGGATAGGACCTTCTCGATTGATTTGCTTTGGCTTCTGTGACCTAGGCTTCGTGCAGCAACGCTACTAGCTCTCACGCGGGGAAGGTTCCTCACTTCTCACACCACCGTAATGTCATATAGGTATACATGCAAACAAGATCGGTGTTTCTTAGGTTTCAACCACTAATCAACCACCCAGGAAGAAGAAAACGTTACACTATATATAATAATATACTAGACATATACTATACTACATCGTAAACAGATCGAGTCTCTTATTTCATTCTCTTTTTTCTTAGCTCCTTCTCAACAAAAACAAGAATCTATGAACATGATGGTGACCTTCTAATGTTATAACCTATATATGTGACATTATAATTACCTCAAACCTCAAACTTACATCATGCTGTTAAGTGTTAACCAGCTTATATATATCCTCGAGCAACATTTGTATCTGTGTGGAGGTTGTAAGCCTCACACCGCAGTGATCTCACAGCTATATAAGCAAACGAGATCGGTGTTTCTCAGATGACACTATACAGATATTGCAAGCAATGACGACGTCTACGAATCCAGAATGAGGTTGTTATCTAACAGCAAACGAGCCTGCCGTGTGATTAAAACGCTACAGGGGTCGTGCCGCCGTGTGACAGCTACAGGGCATTTTACTAAGTGAAAGCTATGTTGGAACTGTGTCAAAAATAGTCGTTAGTGGTTGCTTGTCGTCTAATAGCTTCATGCGCGGTAACAATTCTATGTCACCGGGTTGTGACGTGACCAACTGGAAGCGATATAAAAGCCGTGGCGTGTGTGCGATGCAGGGGCAGTAACATCCACAGCCGACTCTAGCGAAAACAACGTAACCACGGCAACTTCACCTGTACCTGGTAAGATTAATTAATTATGCCATTATAAATTGATTAGAGCCAATTGCATATATATATATATATATATATATATATATATATATTATAGATAGAAAGGTGTTCGTGTATTTTTAATTCCATCTCCTTCATGTCCGCATATCAATAACGGAAGCGTCACACAGCTCGACTCGTTAAACGAATTTACTATTCATTTCTCTATACGCCATTCTATATGATCATACAATATGACTGATTCTTACAGGCTGATATTTGTTGAAATTTGTTTACAAGAACATGAAATATTAGTCTACTTTAAACTTACAAGGAAAGAAAAATCGCATCACTATATAAAGTTTCATACATGAATTGTAGTCATCTGTATCACAAGCGAACTCAACACGACAGTTTGACATTGCAGTATAGACGTCCATACTGTATATCTATAACCGGGGCCCGCCGCAAGAAACAAACACTTACGACTATCATAAATCTAATATGTCATTAGATTTGTACGCCAATACTTATACAAGAACAGGTTACGCAAAGTTGCGACATTTCAGACTAGCAATCCTAACTATTTGTGACATTTCCGAACCACAGTATAAATTTGCCGAGTATTTCACCGAAGACCGACAACAAAATACTGAATGAGAAAACGCGCTCATATCTTATCACTGTATTTACACCTAATTTCGTGTTTACGTCCGTTGACAGATCACATCATGAAGACAGCCGTCATTCTGTGTCTGCTCGTGGCAGCAGTCAGCGCCAGCGACTACGGCGGCAGTTACGGCACCTATGACAACGTCGGCACGGTGAACGCTGGCCGGCCACACACCGGCTACGGACACACCTACGCCCCGGAGTTCTTCACGACGGGCCTGTACGGACCGAGGGCCGACGCCCGTGCCTACGGATCCGGATCAAAGCACGCCAGCGGCTCGTACGTACGTGACGGCCAGGCGGCCGGCGCTGACTACGAGAAGGATGAAGCCACGGCAGCAGAGACCGCCGCCAAGGCGAGAGGTTACGAGTACGGATACAGGTGCGTTGTTAGCCCTGCAGGTCAAACACGCACGCACGCATGCACACACACGCACGCACGCATGCACACACGCACGCACGCACGCACATACACACACCTCCCTGCATACACACGCGTGCAAGCACGCACGCATGCATGCACACACGCACATATTTACTTTGCACGTATTTATTGGCATTATTAGCTCTTGATAATACTATATGTACGTATATATTATACATTATCAGGAGTGAATAATTACAAATTGTTTTTATTGTTTCATTTACTTTCAACTATATGTATACACAAGGTAAGCTTGGTTCTTGAAGAAAAGTGCAACATAATAATGCTTAGATCCTGGCTCCTCTTATTCACTCCCGATAGTAGCTAAGTGAATCGATTCTTGTGGTAAATCATCGATGTGTGTGTGCGTGCATGCGTGCGTGTGCGTATGTGTGTGCGTGTGATAGGTACTTGTGCGTGTACACTTGCTAGGTACTTGTGTGTACGTGTGGAACTTGCGTGTGTGTTCATGTGGTACTTGTGTGCGTGTTTCAGTGATGGATTCAACTGGTACCAGCCCAAGGATCTCTACAGCTTCAAATACCGGCAGCCGCTCATCGGTTACAAGCAGTTGTACTCGCATCCGAGGTACGTCCGGATCGGAGGTTACGGAAGCCACGGAGGCGGATACGGCGGCAACCTTGGATACAGTAACATCGGATATGGCTCGGGTCACGGCGCCACCTTGGGTCACGGCGCAGTCGGCTACGGTGGGCTAGGGTACAGCAGTGGAATCGGTGGGGGCCGGCTGGGACTAGGGTATGGAGGTGGGTACGGTAACAGGCGGTTCGGTTACAATGCAGGACAGGGATACGGTACGGGTGCCTTCAGCCAGAGCTACGGCCGTGGCCTAGGGGGCAGCTATGGAGGTGGGTACGGAGGCAGGCTTGGAGGTTACGGGGGTGGGTACGGAGGCAGGCTTGGAGGTTACGGAGGTGGGTACGGAGGCAGGCTTGGAGGTTACGGAGGTGGGTACGGAGGCAGGCTTGGAGGCTACGGGGGTGGTTACGGAGGCAGGCTTGGAGGATACGGAGGTGGGTACGGAGGCAGGCTTGGAGGATATGGGGGTGGTTACGGAGGCAGGCTTGGAGGATATGGGGGTGGTTACGGAGGCAGGCTTGGAGGATATGGGGGTGGCTATGGGGGTGGCTATGGAGGTGGGCTTGGCTACGGAGGCAGTTATGGACGTGGTCTCGGTTATGGAGGCGGTTATGGGGGTAACCTGGGTTATGGGGGTGGTTATGGCGGAGGTCTTGGCTTTGGAAGACACTAAGGGATTTCGGATGTCACTGAATAAGACCACGAACGGACAACGATGGATTTATGACCGAAGGAACTCTTCTGATTAATAACTAATACAATTAATATTCATTGATTAGTCGGCCTATAGATGTCACCACCAGATCATAAAACACAAATCATACCCGAACTCACGAGAATATCACACTCGTGTAGACGATTATCTTTTTTGTTATGGTTGTTTCTATTTGATTGTACTATTATATTATATTAAAATATATATCAATTTGTTAAATAGCGTTTTCATGTTTAATATTATTTGAATATGTCAATAGTATTAATCTGATGGAAATAATGCACAAATGGAGCCTAAAGCCCAGCGCACACGTGAGTTATTTTACTCAAGTAAAATGACGCACGAGTCAAATTACTCAACGAAAATCCGCCGCACACGTGAGTAAAATGACGCATGCGTCAAATTACTCAACGAAAATCCGCCACACACGTGAGTAAAATGACTCATGCGTCATTTTACTTACGTAAAATAACTCACGTGTGCGCCGGGCTTAAGGGAAATATCCCAAATAGCCACAAACTATACACGTACTAGTAAATAATATTTATAATAAAACTGCAACTTTATTATAAGAGTGTGCCCGCATTGTGCAAACTCTGCATCGTCGCATCGCTAAGCAATACACATATGTGTATATATTCACACAACTCACAATAGCAGAATAATTTCGTACATGATTCAACATCTTAAACAAAAGCAGAGCAAAACTATTTACGATCACTTCATAAATAATGTACAGAAACTGACAAAAAAACACCGCCATAAATTATGTACAGCAAAATGTACAGGCAAGGGTATCCCCAGCCCATCGAGCCAGTGGCGCCACCTAGCGACGACCGATCGAACATCCCACGCACGGACGCTAGTTTTCTTTACACTCTAGCTAAATAACCCACAAGCAAAATTGTTAAGAGAGATAGACAGGACATCGGCTGCAGTGTCACAGTGTCACCGTGTACAGCGTCCGTGTAACGCAAAAAGGAACGAGGGACTATGTAGAAATCAATCCACTTGCTACACCTAACCAAGCCACCTGTCTCTAAACGTACGCAAGTGTAAGAAAATGAGATTGAATCGAAAATTGATATTTCTTTGACGCTCTTGTGTCACGTTATTACAGTTCGACGACACAGTCATTGTTTGATCGTTTATGCTAACCTTGCCAATTTTTTATTTGTTCAATCTAAACCCATAAATCATTAGTAACGAATGCTTTTCACATCGCTCGTTACGCGGGCCACACGCGCCAAACACTGCAACTGCAAAAACGGATCCGATCCGATCGAACAAAATTCCTGATTCATTAGCTTTTCAGAAGGTCAACTGACAGGGTCAAGGTCAACACATCTATACCCCACCCACCCCTGAACATCAGCAATACATGCGTAATCACCAATGACTGATATGCACAAACAAAGAAACAAACATCCGCTGCGCATGCGAACATCAACAATCTGCCTGACAACACACACAAACAATAACAAAGTGCGGCCGAAAAGCAGACGAAGCCAGAAACAATACTCATTTCCATAGCAACGTCACAGCATCCGCGCATTATAAGGCGAGAGATCGACGACTGAAAAGATCGCATGAGCACCGTGCATATCTGGGCAGGCATCACTCCAACATCGCAGGCGATCATGTATGTGAGCCGACAAAACTGGGTATCGGGATGTTTTCCAGGGGCATGATGGGAGATGTGGGAGCTATGACACCGAAACATCGATGACAATTCCCCGTCCTTCACCGCACCGCACACACACGCACGCACGCACGCACGCACGCGCGCACGAACGTACACACGCATGTGTATGAACATACGTAGAGCAAAAATGAAAATCGCCCTCACGCACAAGCAGAGAGACAGTGACAATGGAACACTCCAACAGAATGACGACGTGCTAGCAGATTAACGGAAGTTCACTCTCATCGAAAAAAACAAATAATTAAAAATAATTACAGGTCTGTGGGTCATTCAACGAAAAAAACGAGCAACTAAAAAGGACAAACAACCTCGGTAAAGTGTGGCCAAAAATAAACAAACAACAATAACAAATAGGATCTACAGAACCAAAACGTTTAAACGGCATAAATCATAACACGTTCAGCGAACATCCATCCCTACCTCTGCGTGCACCCATCACCTGCAAACATCCACCGTTGATATTAACATACACTATAACGACTCAACAATTACCATAAAAGTAACCAATCATTTCCACGAGCATTCAACAACTGCCTTGTTTGTTGTTTGTGGCCACACGAATAAAAAAATACTTTTAATTTAGAAACCACATTAAGTACATTGTTTACAAAATTCACATTTTGTATTTGAACTCAAATCCCTAGTTCTCATAGAGAGAGAGAGGTGTACAGATCTTATCTACAAATCAAAGGTTTCCAAGCAGCAATACCTTACCATGCATGGTCACAGTTGGTATTTACCACTGTCAATATACAATGCTTATAATCAAAATATTTACCTACAACTCTACTAATATGGTGGACAGTTGCGGAACTTTTTTTTCCACCAAGTGTGTCCATATAGCGTGACATTACTTGAAAATTGTAGATGACGAGGCGATTATGAGATCTGTCCTCGTTTATAAGGGTTTACCACTAGCATGTCTGCGAGCGTCACAGCATTCACACGTGCCACGACTTTCCCCCGTGTGTTCTACGACGCGCAGTCATCATCATTGACGACTGGCGCCACGGCGTCGTCATCATCACCGAATTCTTGTGAATAGGTTCAGAACGGATTTTGACTCCTGCAAGAGAGAGACGAGAGAGAGAGAGAGAGAGATGAGTTGATTGACGATCTCTCTTGACAGGCAGACGACGGCATAGCATCGACCACACAATCAATGCATGATCAAGTCGATATGCAGAGTGCAGATGTTCTCTTGTTTCGGGTATTACCGCTATAGTCGAACACATCGACATATATGGATATATCGATACACACGACAAGATATATAGTTATATATGAATCGGGGAAATGCGTCGGGCAGCCACGGGGTGGCAGCAGCCAGGAGGAGGGGAAGGGGGGTGTTTACGTCGCGTGCCGCGGACTCACCTTCTGAGACCTCGCCTTGCTGAACACGTTCCAGAACCGCAGCGTTTCGTCACCGGCACCCGTCACGATCGCCTCCCCGTCCGGCGACATCGCCTGCGTCAACATAATCATTGCGCGAAACGTTAGACTCGGCATCGTAGAAACGTGAATACGGAAGGACGCTAACACCCACGATACCCATGGTCTAATGCTTGTCCGTGGAAAACCCATGTGCGATTTCCAAATACCGCCTGAATGTTTCAATTTCAATGTTTTCAATGTTTTAATTTCGGATCTTAGGATATAATATATTAGACAGTATAAACGTTATTATTTGATAATAATGAAGTCACTTTTGACAATCGCCTACTGTACATACAAAAACGAAACTCATTTACTGAACACTGCATCAATTTGTATCATTTTCCAAAACCCTATTTTAGATACATTTATCGTACTATCCATCCAAAGCATTTTTCTCAAGTGTTAAAGCAAAATGAACAAAGTACTAAAGTATAAGCAAGTTATTGAATTCAAATAAATCAAATTGATAACACGCGACATGACAAGATGACGTTGGTACCAGCATTACTGGGATAACTACCGTACCAGTACAACATAACAACACACTCACCAGGTAGAGAACTCTGTAGGAATGACCTGTTAGTTTGGCGACTTGAGTCAATGATGGATACTTCCACACGAGTATCTGGTTTTGTGAGTATCCATGCGTGGAAACCTAAAACATTGGGTGTTTTAAGCCGAATGCCACTTCATGTCGCGTACCGTGCAATCACCAAACAATCACATGATAATAACGTAATTTCATTGCCTCGCAGATAACATAGACAGGCTCTAAATTTTAATGACTTTCTAGGACTGAACGACATAATATTAAGCAAGGCTTTCCAGACAAACAAAAATAAACTTTTTTTTTTATTCTGGGACTTTCCCAGTATCCACAGAATCCTGATTCCAGGACTTTTCAGGTTTCCCAGGAACCATACGTACCCCCCCCCCATGCCAAATATCCATGATTTCCATGACCCTTACAAACCCCGAGCTTCCCCCCCCCGGGGGTAGGGCACGCGTGTATGCACGGCATTCAGCACTCACCAGTTCGCTCGCGTGCTTGCTCCACGCCAGGTTGCACACCTGTGACCCTGTGTCAACGCACTGCAGCGGCTGGCCCGTCAGCGTGTTCCAGAAGCGGATGCAGCGGTCCGCCGTGCCTCCGCCGCTCGCCAGCAGGCCGTGGTGGTGTGGCGACCACGCTATCGCCTTCACTGCAACCAGAGAAACACCATTAACATGTCAATGTCACGCCACAAGCACGCGCGACGCAGGCAAGCCATGGTGGTGTGGCGACCACGCTATCGCCTTCACTGCAACCAGAGAAACACCATTAACATGTCAATGTCACGCCACAAGCACGCGCAACGCAGGAAAGCCGTGGTGGTGTGGCGACGACGTTATTGCCTTCACTGCAACCAGAGAGATACCATTAACACGTCAACGTCACGCCACGCGAAGCACGCATCCAGGTCAGTTTAAGAGCGTGAGTGGCAGTTAGTTACGTACGCTTATGCTAGCCGCACACTATCCGACCCGAGCGTGATTTGAAGGCTTACGATTGGATTGAGATGTTCTAGTTTGGCTCGGGAGGCTTAAGATTGGCTCTGGAGGTCATTTTGGCCCGATTCGAATTTTGAATCGGGAGCAGATCGGGTCAGATAGTGTGCGTGGCCATCCGACCCGATTGGCGAGCGCTGAAGAAAATTGACCAATCACAGAGCAGCACAAAGGGAAACACTCCCAACCCTTAGTACACACTAAATCCGCTTGGAACGCCACAAGAGTGCCATGGTTTGCGTCAACTTTGAGTCGGACAGTGTGCGGTGGCCTCCCGATCGATCGGGAGTGGGTCGTATAGTGTGCAGGGGCTTAGTGCTGTGCACAGTGCAAAATCGGATAGTGTGCGGCTAGCATTAGGCGTCGGATATACTTTCTATTCAATCGTTTATAAACAATGGATAATCATCCACGCACGGTCCCAAATTTGCAAATCGATTACTCGAATGCAGACGCCGGCACCTAAACGACGGCGCACCCTCCAGCCGGCGGCGCCCCCTACCTGCGGCCATGTGCTCGTTGCATTCCCACACGGGCTTCGGTCGCGAGGTGTTCCAGACGAGTAGTCGATTGTCGTTCCCACCCGAGGCGAGATGCTGATGGTCGGGTGACCACTTCAGACCGCACACCTACGACGAGGCAACGCACGCAGTCAGCAAACACGCACGCACGACACCACCGCGCAAGCTGTAACGTTATCCTAACCACACACACACACAGAGGTGCTGCAGAAGTTATTATTGCTTATCAGCAGCAGCGCATGTACCTCCTGCCCTTCCCCATGCACACACACACATAGTCAGTCACACACACACACACACACACACACACACACACACACACACACATAGTCAGTCACATACACACACATGCTCATGCACCCACATACACACGCACATGCACGTGCTGCAGATATGGATTTATTAGTACCTCCTGTCGGTGGCCTATGAGGCGGCGCTCCGGTATCACAGACGGTGTCCTCACATCCCGCTGCAGGATCAGTCTGTCACGACTCCCCGATGAAAGCACGTCTGCGTTCCATGCCAGCGCGCCTGCAACAAGCACCGAGCCCACCTCAGTCATCCGACATCCCCCCACAACGCTGAAGCCACGCATGCCGCAGCATTCGCACAAGCCACAGCCCCAATATTATACATATCATAATTCTATGCATTATAAGTAATGAGCACAGTTTCAGTGGGGTCCGTTGTCAAAAACATGGTAAATGGTTAGAAATATCGCGAGTATCAAAGGTCGCGACTGCGGCACGACACTTCGCTTCGCGATGTCGCTTCACTATGGCATCAACCTTGATTTTACATTGCCTGCTGGTATCGTTGGGAGTGAGTAACTTGTTATTATGCAATGGGGATATCATGTATGACGTTGTGCTATTAACAACATTATTATCCGTCTATCATCTATTTACCCTTCAGCAGACGCAAACATGAGAGCACCTCAAGCTCTCGTAGCGTCGAAGTCACACTTAGTATAATTCATTTCCCATGGAATTAAAACGTTTGCATCGTCACGAAATCAACATTTATATTGTTATGTTCGTGCAAAATCGTCGCACGACGCAACGACGGCGACAACAACGGCAACGGATCACGGCATGTCACGACGCGTGCTGACACTCACCGACCCTCGCCGAGTGTCCCTCCAACACGGATATCCGCTTGTTCGCCGTCACGTCCCACACCTGCACGTAACCCTTGTGCGTTCCCACGGCGACGAGATGCCCCTGCAACCACAACAACGACGTCACTACATCAAATGCTGTCTACGCGTTGCCTCCTGCCCTCGCCCCAACCGCGCGACAGCAAACACTCGAACGAAGCCCGCTACTTCGGGAATTTTTTTGTCCCCGTATTTCGTTTATTTTCCCGTATTTTGTCAATTAAATCGCAAAAGCATTTGACCATTCACGATGCACGTATCGATAACCTACCGAGTAAAATCTATAGCATTTAGCGGGGTAGTTTCATCCGAAAACAACAGAAATGTAACACAAGTCGCAATTCAACAGCAGTTGTTTATCAAAGCGCTCCACGACACTACTTTGTAAGCATCCCACCCCCTAGAAGCAAGCATTACAACTCACTCTCTCGGCCCACGACACCGACGTCACTGAATCCCCGTCGCTCGCCAGGTCGCAGAGTCTCGTCACCTAGGAAACGAAAACATTTCCACGTAGAATGAGCACACACGATACATCCAACCCTATACAGAATTCAACCGATCCTTATACCTGACGAAATTGTACGCATTTTTAAAATTTCTTGATGGCACACACAGTCAATCCCATGTAAGTTGCCATCTGTATGTAACAGACACTATAAAGGACACCGTTGGGATTTTCCTTGAGAGACAGTTATGCAGTGAAACCACATCGACAGAACGGACACCTGTCTAAATAGATCACCTGACATTATTTTCGACTAAATCCTCATATACAAGGTTGGACACTCTTTGTATTTTTTCAAGTTCGTAAATAACTAACGAGTTAGTTTCGCCTGCTGCGTACCTGGCTCGTGCATGCGCTCCACAGGTAGACGCATGTTCCCAGTCCGACACTGAGCACGTTCTGTGATGACCAGTCGACAAGATTCAGATAGAAATCATCCTGTAGCTCAGGAGCATCTAGCACCTTGAACGGGATCTTTGATATTTTTCTAGATGCCTGAAGAACAAAACGCAGAAATAAAGAAGACGTGGATGAAACTCTTCTTTAATGGGATCATTGATATTTTCCCGGACGCCTGAAGAACAAACGCAGGAACAAAGACGCGGATAAACATCTAGTTTAATGGGACCTTTGATATTTTCCCGGATGCACGAAGAACAAATGCAGAAATAAAGATGCGCATAAACCTCTACTCGAACGCGGGACACACCTTCCTGGGAGATCGCAGCAGCTTCTGGCTCTTGCTGCCGACAGGAGACAGGGAATACGGCGACATGGCGCAGTCGGCATCGCCGTAGCGCGGCGCGCGATACTGAAACAGGTTCTTGATCTCCTTCGGCGACAGTATGCGACGCTCGTCGCCCTGCGGGTCCTGCAACAGCGACGAGAGACGTTGCGTTAACGCGCGACTCGTGCCAACAATGAGGACGCCGGCAGACGAGCTCACACATCTACGCATGTTCGCGCGCGTCGTATATCTATATGTTTGTGTTAGCACGAAAACTCTCAGGATTCTCAGGGGGATGGAAGCCACACGAAATCAAAGTTTCGAGTGATGTCGAAACTTCGAGTTAGTGGAGAAAATGGAAGTATATATGCGTCATGCGGTGCTAATACCACTAGAGCCTTAAAGGAATCTGGATTGGAAATCTATGTTGCAAAAGAAATAGATGACATCTACGGTCTTAATGAAATAAAGAAATCAATAAATAGAAGAGCGTTTGTCCAAAAGTTTTTTTAAGGGTACATAGCAGATTTGGGTGAAAAGCAGCTACTAGATTTACATTAATATGTTTAGTTCATTAGAATCAAAACCTGAATTTGGTTTTTAGAAACAGTTTTGGAACAGATCAGCAATACCTTGAGATCCTCAATATTTGCACCCAGCAATTCATTTTTCAACAGACAGTTGTATGCTTGTGCTTCCTTGTTGCTTTCAGTGTTGTTCTCTCTGGCCTTTCTCACAACATTCGGTGACTGATTCCCTTGGTGCTACAAAATGTGAAAACAAATTGTGCAATACAGTGATACAACCAGTATTCCAATAAAACTTTTTTAATTTAATTAAAATCATGCAGATCCATAATAATTAGTAACATATAAAAACACAATTTTATACCAATTTATATACAACACATGTAATCCTTTCACTATATTCATATTTGTAGCATCAAATAATGTTTACATACATTTTATACTATTTTTAAACAATATAAATTTCAGTCACCACATAACTTTTGATTTGCTGGTTCAATGTTAAGCCACAGTTACATTAAGCCAAACTTCTAAGAAATTTTTTAGAATCTGTATAATTCAATCTTCACTTTTAGAGTACAGAAACATAATTACTTTACAAATAATGAGCCTGTATACCTGTATAAGAGAAAGACCAATTTGCCAGTTAGCACCATTTCTTGCTGGAATAAAACGATCTCCGTATTTATCTCTAGGTGAACTCATTGGTGACATCTTCAACGGAGAAGGCTGCAAAAGAAAACCATAAGTATATAAGACTTTATCATAAAGCAATAAAGGAAAACCAGATAAAGCCAGTCTTTATACCTAGCCAAACCTATGCAAAACAATACTACATTAAACCAATCTATCTTCAGTCATGCAACAGATAGAAAATGCTCCATAGATAATTCTTAAGATTTCGTTATGTGACGGAAATAAAAGAAAGGTAAGTAAATCAACTACTTACACATGCTAATGGTGACAATATAGTACTCTGGCCATTCTGTTGGCGAAGCAGACGCTTTTCAAATTCCACATCCATGACAGGCAGCTGGTTGTACGAATTGTTGTCCAAACTGCAAAACATACATAAGACATGGCTCATTTTAAATTCTCATATTTTTCTAATATAGCAAATGTCTGTGCTTTTATTTTCAAAACCACAGAATTCCTAGTCACGTAACCATTATAAACAGCATGCGAGCTCTTTGAGATTTTTTATGCTTGTCGTTTATGAATCCTACGCGCATTCTGTATTGCAAACGCACATTTTCATGGAATATTAATGCTAGTTTAACTATTATATTACTATAGCTAAATGCTAAAGTGATTATATATGGTACGAATGGTAGCTGTGCATGAACTTAGGTTAAGAAATCAATTAATCCGCTACTTCGCTGTAGACTAGCGTACGGTACATGCAGGCACAATCCTAGTGAAGCACCCTGGATTAGCTGGCCCAATCCTAGTTTACCACACATTATATTCGAAAACACATTTGCAAATATGATTTACCCATCCCATGACATGCGTCTAAACAGAGGAATTGCTCTGACCTGTGATTGGAGGATAAAAATAGAATTCGTGATGTTTTGTTTTTATTTTGCATACCCCGCCGCATACGCTATTATGCTATGACCGGTAGGAACGTGTACTAACTATTAGGGCTGTAATAGTTACTCAACACACAAGCCTCTCGATTCGATCCGGTTCTCGATATTAGCCTCTCGATTCGATTCCCAAAATATTGAAATGTTATCTTATTTTTTATATTTTCATTATTTTGCAATAATAAATTATTAGAAATTGCCAATGAATACTAAATGGTGAATAGACTAGAGAATCTAGAGAGTATAATACACTGCACAGTCGCTGAGAAACATTGGTGAGTAACACCAGAGCATATAAATCACTGATTTATATGCTCTGGTAGCCCGACCAGGCTGTGCGACAGATTGTCTATACAGCCTGACACCCTTCCATACAAAAAACCTATCACCTCTGCAGATCTAGATGAATAACTCTGTATATCTCAAATAAAACTATTCTATTACCACCTTTGACTTGCCTTGTTTGAAATATGAACGTTAACTCAGTTGTCCTGCTTCTAAACTAGAATGTATCTCTTAATTCATGGTATAATCTGCTAATTCTCACAGCATATCGACTTTCCAATCAGCTTTACCCGCCATGTTTAGCGAGGCACGGAAAACCCGAAACGGAAAAGGCTCGCTAGAAAATACTACAGAAATAGTACAATAGCTGCACGATGACTCACACGGCAATTACACACCAAAGCAAGTGAAACGATGTTCACAAATGTCTGGGCCATTTGTAAAAACCTTAGATGACATGTTCTCGGATGCAGGGGTGGTTTACATGAGGACCGCTGATCGTTTAATTTCCTTTGTTCGATCCATTACGGATTTTAGTCACAGTCGGAATGATAGCAAACATGGCGGCGAATTCATAAATTTTGTTGCATTTGTCTTAAAAAGTCGCTGTAACCCCGTAAGTACCCAGCGCATCGTAGCGCACTGATGGTTACAATAAGGTGGACGTATACTGATTCATTTGGTATATCACATGTGTAGTGTTCTTTGGCGATACTTGGCAAATAAGGCAACTACGTGTTTAGCTGCAGCCAAGGTTTGAAACGGTATTCTAACCCTAGCAATACCGTTTCTTGGAGCTAATGCTCTGGTAACACTCCACAGTATATAGCGTTGTGCCGCCATCTATTGGAGGAAAAAAGTGGTATCGAAGTGGAATCGAAAATACGGGGAAAAATATCGAGGATCGGATCGAGAGAAGAGAATCTCGATCCGATTCGATTTCGGTGGATCGTTACAGCCCTACTAACTATCATATGGAGCCAACGTTTTGAGTTACATTTCCATAAATTCTAGCTATTAGTATAGACACGTCTTAGCCTTAATCTCTGTGAATTTTTAGTCCACTGAAGCGCGATTAGTCTAATTAATTAGCAAATATGCACGCGCGGTATCGCTTATAAGCTAATATATACGCGCGGCTATGCCCGGTAGGAACAGGTACTAAATATCATATGGCGCAAACGATTTGAGTTACATTTCTATAAATTCTAGCTATTATAGACACATGTCTTAGCCTCAATCTCTGTGAATTTTGAGTCTATTGAAGCGCGATTAGTCTAATTAATGAGCAAATATGCACGCGGTATCGGTGCAATGGTATCGCTCATAGGCTAATAGTAATATCGGTGAAACGACCATGATGACGGTGATAACGGCTATGACCGGTGAAACGAAACGTCACAAATTCTATTTTTATCCTCCAATCACAGGTCAGAGCAATTCCTCTGTTTAGACGCATGTATTCCATGGGCCATGATACTGATAGGGGTGTTGTAGTGTTAACTGTTGACAACACAGAATTGTTAACTGTTAATAATGTTATGACTAGTTCAGTAATTGAGTTGAGTAGTAGATTTAAGTAACATAACATCAATTACATCATGAACAAATAAACTTTGTACACTTTCCATTTTGAAGACATCACGAAAATGAAAAAACGAAGTTAAACATGTATTAAATTGTAGGAGTGAGCATAGCTCTAGTAGTAGTACTATAGCCCGCGTACAGTAACTGCCGCAAGCTGTGGCAGTTACTGTACGCGGGCTATAGACTATAGTACTGCTCATAGGGTCTATGTCCCCCAGGGTACTGCCGGAACGTACCCTGGGTACGGTCCGGTATACCGGAACGTACCCTGGTCACTATCTATGATCATGGTTAGGGTAGGGTGTAAGGTTAGGATTAGGGATAAGGTGTAGTGTAGGTATAGCGGAGTATGCCGTAGGCATTCCTAGACCTCGTTAGTGAGTAGGCCGAGTAGGTCCGGCATATTAGATAGTACCAGGTACGTATCGGTGTACCGGACGTGACTCCGCACGGTAGCGTTTCCGGCAGTACCGTTCCCGAAGGACATAGACCGCTATCAGGCTAATAGTACTAGAGTATGAGTTAGCAATTGACTGAGTGAGCGACTAAACAAAATTGAAAGTGGCTAGCCACTCTTCTGCGCAATTGAATTTTGACACATATTATGCGCGGCGAGCGGAGTAAGAAGGTGAAATAGTAACGTACTTTTATAACCATATAAACAAATTTTCCACGCCTCACATCAGTAGTAATCTAACGAGAGGATGGGTGTAGACAATTAAGTACTGCGTCATGAGAATGCATTTCCTAGTTACTAGATCGCGCAGGAAGAATTTTACACAATACATAAAAAATGCTTGGAGTAATGCATTGTGGGAAGGCGACAATTAGCGCCTGTGCTAGGTGAGGTGAAGAGCGGCCATTTGCGTGGCCGTGCGACGTCTTGGTAATATTTCTACTAAGTACTTAATACTAAGCGCTTAATACTATAAACTATAGTACTGAATAGTAATAGGATGGCAAACGAAGATAGTCGAAAAAGTTCGAACCAACGGACTGTGTTTGAGACATTTAAATAATAATTGAAATTACAGTTGTGTAGCTCTATGTGTTTCTGACAGATTTAAGGCATAACGGTTAAAACTATGGTATGTAATGGTAAAGTCTATGGTTTGGGACAACTAGCGCTGAAAGAACAGGACAGTTCTGTCAGTAAAGTTGACATAGAACAGAGCAATAGATCGATAGTGGCCGGAGGCGGTGTGGTGGTGGAGAAGAGAGAGGAACCAAGCTAATTAACGAGCGTCGCTGGAGAAAGGGAGGCCGTGGTGGTTGGGGGGGAGGAAGGGGAGTGACAGGAGGGAAGAAGGAGCCTGGTGGAGGAGGAGGGGGAAAAAGGGAGGAACGCTGGTGGAAGGAATGACGGAGGAGGAGCAAAGGATTGAATTTATGGGCAAAGCTGAGCTCATTAGGACGCTGAAGGCGGTGTTCAGAGGAGACGGAGAGCGCGTCGTGGTGGCTCGAAGTGGAATGAGCGCGGGGACTAAAGCGACCAGCCGGAGCTCTGCGGCGTGCGATAGCGCGCGTTCTGAAAGTCGAGCACTCGCGAGGTCGCGAGAGCGGGAGTGGGCGCCGGGAGCGAGCGTCATTGCAGCGCGGAAAAATGTTTGAAAAGCTGTTGCGCGTCAGAAACGCTGCTGGAGTTGTTTACAAGATGCGACGTAAAAAAAAGCCTTCTGGCGCGAATGCGAATCTGATAGCATTTCTACGTCAGATTTGCAATCTATTTCAACTTAATATTCACTTTCATATCCATTCAATTTCTCCATCTCCTTTAGAGTTTTACTTCTAATTCAGATTGTATCATCTTCGTCTGCCTACATTACGTTAACAGTAACTTGTTTCTCTCTCAAGCGATAAAATCTGCTGAGTAACCCTGCGCATGAGGGGCTCGCGCAATATTGATCAAGCAAGCGCAGGCTGAGAGCGGGCAAACAGCGAAGTCGCACAGGCGAGCGCACAGCGATGCCGCTCGGTTCGTCGTTCAGTGATCCGGAGAGGCGCGTGCGATCGGTTAGACATCGCATGCGTTCGCATCGAGGCGCTCGCTCTCGCGAACAACGACAACACTGAAGAAGTGCGCAAACCGCCGCACGGCCGGAGCTACGTGGGCCCGGACGCGGGCTCTGATAGTTTACCTGAGGAGGGTGCCGCGATACGTGCAGCACTAGTCACTTTGTACCAGCTTCAAAGTAACTTTCAAAGTTCTTTACCACAGAAAGATTGCCACAGTCATACTTCGCATGCAGACATGCCTTATTCCCTAACCTAACCCTAATCTCAACCCTAATCCTGACGCCTACACGCCTAATGCCTAGCACTAGTGCTGCCACGTAGCGGCACCCTCCCTCTACGCCCGGGGGAAATTGATTCCCTAGACAGGACAGATGGAATAGTAGGGCAGGCGATGATGGTGTTTTGAGTAGAAGTAAAGAAATAGTAGAGTCCAGATAAAATGAGTATAGAGTATAGAGAGAGAGTAAGTAAGGAGGTATAGAGTAGAGTAAGTATAGAGTATAGAGTGAGATGAAGAATAAACGACGTATAGAGTAAGACAGCTAAGTATAGAGTAAGAGAGAGTAAAGTAATACGAGATAGAGTAGAGAAGGTATAGCGTTATAGCGAGTATAGAGTATAGTAAGTTATATGAGTATAGAGTAGAGTAAGTATAGAGTATAGAGTAGAGTAAGTATAGAGTAGAGTAAGTATAGAGTATAGAGTAGAGTAAGTATAGAGTATAGAGTAGAGTAAGTATAGAGTATAGAGTAGAGTAAGTATAGAGTATAGAGTAGAGTAAGTCACTAGGTGTGTGAGTAAAAATAGGAACAATACACGAGGAGAAGGGTGTCTAGCTAGAAATTTGGATATAAGCCTAACTAGGGTAACTAAACTAGGGTAGTAGAGCCTAGAGGGCCGGAATCTAGTTAGAGATGTCAGTAAAAGGGGAAGACATGGGAAGATCGAGAGATGGATTGCTCTAAAGAAAGTGAGGTCGAATAGAGAGGACAGTGAGGAAGAGGAGTAGAGGAATTTCGGCTGAAGAGGATATTGTAAATGAGGGGCGCTGAGGGTGGAGGATATGAAGACGTAGAATGGAGCAGCTAGAGTACTTTGCACGTTCAACTGACTGCTGCGCCTGCAACCTTCTTGTATAGTATCACTTCCCTCCAATTCTATCAGTTTTCTTTTACCATTTCCATATTCTCCCTTCCGTATAGTCCCTCCCTTAATGTTTCGCTCAGTTCTCCTCCGTTTTCATGTTTTCCTCATATGTTTCATTCTTCTGTTTTTACCATTCATAGCCGTTTCTATCTCTCCTAATGTGAAATCCCCAGAGATTAGATCTAAGGTCATCTAACACCCCTAACGCCCTGCATTATCGCATTGTGGTAACTGAGGACCGACGGAGGGTGCAGTATTTGAGCCATAGAAGTGGGGAGGAAAGGCTATTGAAGTAGAAACTCAAAAGGGCATCTCTCTACTCATATGAGTACAGCTCCACGGAGATACCTTACTGAACCCGTGTCAAAGAGCTTATAATGATTATAAGCTCTTTGCCCGTGTTCGTCTCAAGCACTGATCCAACTATACTAACAATACTCAATTTGTAACTTTACTTGCCGCATGATGGCGCAAGGACATTATTCAGCATTGGCCATAGAGAGGCTAGGCCTGTCTTTTCACTATAGAAACAGGTATATGTGTTCGTAAGGGGGTCAGTCTAGCTTACTACAATCACGTACATATATGCAGCGGAAACATTTCAGGCCATTACCGCCTTTGGACGTCCTGCTGTCGTTTCGTCGCTGACAGAAGAAGATAACATGTAAGTGGCTAAATATTGACACACATATAACACGCCTATGCTATCTCTGGCGTTATTTTCTATGAGGTTATGACTATTTGTAGTAGATGAGATCGTATGGAAGAGCTACCGAAAATCTCATTTCGCGCATATTTTGCGGAAAGAAGTACGTAACGTGGTTGTACTACAAGTACGTTCTTTATATACGACGTATTCTTTAAATACGTGTATTTGACGTGCACTGCATTCGTTCTTCGTCTGTAAATGTTTAACTTGTGTAAAACTACTGCACTGTTTAGTTAGCAAACGAGCAAGAACCGCAACATCACGCTTTCTCATCAGTGCTCGTTGGCGCGTCCCGTTCTTGCAAGTTTCGGTGTTGATACAGCCTGCGTACGCGCCCCGGGCGGTACAGGTAGCTCAGGCTCAGTCTAGCTATGTATAGTATAGATATACGTGGGTTTGGCCGAATGTTTGGCGTTTATTGGATAACAAGTGAAGTGTTGAAAACAGACGTCGCATGCCGAGCGAACAGAGGCAAGCTGGGGGGAACGTGTCTTGGTGGGGGTGCGCACTGTTTAACGTTGTTTGTATGCCGCGGCGTGCGTTGCCAACGAAACATTCATCGATCTATTCTAGACATACTTATGTCCGGCTGTGCCGCCCGTGTTTGGGTGTGTTGCTGGGGTGTGTACCACATGCTGTGATCGTGTGCGCTCGGGCATGCCTGCTTGAGTAGTTGGGCGTTGGTATAGATGGTGGGCGTATGGCTGATAGGGTCTATGTCCCCCAGGGTACGGCCTGCATGAACGTACCCTGGGTACGTTCCGGTATACCCTGGTAACTATCTAGCTGATATTGTTAGGGTTAGTGTTAGGGTTATGGTTAGGGTTAGAGTTAGGGTTAGGGTCAGGGTTAGGGAGTAGGCGTAGGCGACTCCCTAGACTCGTTAGTGGAGTATTGCGAGGTACGGTCCGGCATATTAGATAGTAGTATTTAGTACAAGGGTACGTTCTGGTATACCGGACCGTACCCAGGGTACGTTCCGGCAGTACCCTGGGGGACATAGACCCTATCAGCGGTAGTATGTGCATGTAGATGTATCAGTGAGTATTAACTATTATACAATTGTGAAGGTGGCAGAGTTATTTGAGCATGCGTTTGTGTTTGAATGCAAAAGTGTGCACAATAACCATAATTAAACGGCCATAGGTCAATATGATTAGCACTTGAAAATACAAATGATTTCGGGGCAAGACATAATGCAATATATGCATTTTCCTTTTTTATGCAGGATAAAGGGTTAAATGGACCATAGTCCAGGTTCACACTTTTGGAATATATATAATGAGTATATATATATATCAGGGCACGAAATTCAGATTTTTTTGCATCGGCCCAGAGGGCTGGTAACAGTAATTTTTACCAGCCCTCACCATAATTGACCATGCAGCCCTCACAAATTTGTTTGTAAAATCAATGTAATGTTTCACGCTTGCATTCTTGATTTCAAATTTGTAAAATGTTGATAAGTTATGGCGTGACATACTTCAGGTAAAACAGTAATGTAGGCTATTTGCTATAACTAATGTAGGCTATAGTAGTATAAATAAAAATGTAGGACACTAAGGTACTTGCTAACATGGCTGAAACCACCGGCTCGGAGGGCCGGTGTTTTGCCAATGTTACTGGCCCTCCAAATAATTTGCCGGCAGATGCCGGTGGGTCGGAGCTAATTTCGTGCCCTGTATATAGTTTTTTTTTTAATTTGCAACTTTTAGTTTCAGTACATGAACATTAGTGTATAACTCAGTAGGGGGCGAAATTTAGTTGTACTCGTTCGTGTAGCACTTTTACTCCGTCACAGGCAATGCTTCCTGTTATACAGTGAAGGCTTACACCGGTAGAACTAGCGTATCGTCACAGTGACATATGTCGCACGTTATTGTTTAGCTGTTCTTCTTTAGCCCTTGATTTACAGGATAGTCACTATTAGATCAATATGATATTGTATTCGGGCCCATATATATGCAAGGGTGCCGGCTCCTACCACTGCTGACCCATTGTATCAAGAGCGTATAAAAAAAGCGTACCTTCTTTATACGCTCTTGATTGTATGTAGCACCAGCAGCAGTGACAACAATAGCAACAGACACTGGCAGACAAAAAATGTCAATATCTCAGCTGTACCTGTACGCAATGTTTGGCGATGTGTGTCAATGACCTTGAAGCGTTTTTCGGCCGTTTACTAACTGGTTTTGGGGCGTGTAGGGTGCAGCGGGGCTGTACAAGAAGGTAGTACGTGTCAGTACTGCCTTGTCAATGGATCCTCCGTTTTTCACGGGGTTTCCCTCGTAAGATGGACCTGTGGATGGACAGTTTTCTTTGGATTTGCCAACAAAAAGAAGGGCATACATTTTTTTAGGATATAGAGGTTATTCGTGGGTTATCTTGCACCCATATGAATGATGCAGCGGTAATAGTAATCTTGAAGCTGTAGTGTATTAAAATCATCAGCTGTAAGTCTCTAGATCTTAATAAAGAGTTATTACGCTTTGTAGGATATTTGAGAAAAAATACAGATTTTTTTAAACATTCTGGCAGCTCTGCTGATGTACTTTTGTGGGTGGTTGTGTGGTGCATATGAAGGTGTGTGCATGTGGTGCATATGTGTGAGCTTGTGTATGTGCGTGCATGCCTGCGTGTGTAAGTAGAGTAGTGCAAGAAAACCTGCTGTACGTAACGTGAATAAAAGCAGCTGTCATGTGTGTGATGAGCTCCAATAAAACGCGCGTATGAGTTAAGATCATTCTGCGAAGCCGCTCTTGCGAAAACGTAAAATAAAACACGCGACTAACTGTATGCGGCACTCATTCTTAATATAGCCGCGCAGCTTCCGCTAATGCGCTATTCCGGTATTCCAATATTCCTGTCCGACATTCGTGAGAGAGATGTGCAGGGTTTGACCGTGCGACCGATATACTAGCTTCAGACGGGAGCTGGTGTTACGCCGTCGGAAAACCACCGCAACGGTGAAGGAAACCTTAGCAGGTCCCCACATTTATCTGATTTATGAAACTGCGATTTATGCTATTTCTCGTTGTTTAACTTCCATGCTAGTAGGCGACTCTGCCGGATTTGCTAAACTGTAGATGTCCACTTATTAGTTATATGGAAAATTTATCATTATTACCAAAAACATCAGGATAGCTATTTTATCGTGCGGCGCTTATACTTTATAAATTATAGCGTGGATACGTTTATGGTAGCGATATATTTTTGGTTAGATATTATACGTGTTCGGTGATCGAGAGGTATATTACGATATTAAATTTATACCCGATAAACGGGATTCAATAGGTAATTGGTGTTCGGAGTGCATGCAGCACGTCTACAATACTCTTGGCCTACATCATTCACGGCAGTTGCTTTGTGCGAATTCTGAATATCTTGTTCCGGAGAGTAATCTGTGTCACGGATACGCGATGCCTTGTCTGTCCGTCCTAGAGATTGCTGTGATACCCTATGTATATTATTATATATATATATATATATATATAAACACCCATATATGCATATATATGGTTGTTTCATACGCTACGGTGACATTTGTGTCAGCATCCAAAAGACAGGTAATACTGTCATAATGTCTGGTCATTACCGTACAGTTTTTAAACGCCGACAGCAATCGATAAGTTAACTATAGCTACGTTTTGAATCAACACGGTTGAGTAAAAGTTAACCAAGGTAGATCTATTAGCTACCAACCGAATGAACTTATTTTAAATGATTTACAATCTGTGATATTTCCATGCGACTTGATCCTAATGGCTCGGTCTCTGGGAAATATTGCATGTATAACGTAGAGATTTGCATGGCGTTTTATCATCACTATGTGTAAATGGTATAAAGCTATCTGAATTTTCATAGTAATCTTACTACTCCTGCTATTAGCATAACCTCCTTTTAAGTACTGCATGTTTGTACATTGTGTACACACTTGTACATAGCGTATTTTAAGGTTTTCCGACATTAAAAAAACCAATTGGACCACTCTCGTATCTCTATCCACTATAGAACCGGTAGAATTTTTTTTAGCTCGAGGAGAATCAATACTATTAGTTTATGTAAGAAGTACATGTTATCAAGAGCTATTAAATATTTATTAGCTCTTGATGTTAGGCCAAAACAAAATATAGGTGTGGTTACGGTTTCCTGACCAACCCTATTTATTCCCAGCGACCCTAAACATTTTAATTGTCAATTTTCTTTAAAGTAAAAAAAAAAAAATGAATTGGACAGTTCCTGCTTCAAAAAGCACAACGCACATCCTTCAGACATGGTTCGTAAATAAAATATTTCAAGAAAATAAAATGTTTCCCTACCTACCTACCCTATTTTTTTCGGCATGTAACGGTAACCACACATATATTTTGTTTTGGCCTTATCAGGAGTGTGATAATATAGACTATATTAGTTAGACTTTGTTATAAAAAAATATGGGATAACGAATTATGCAGATAGTACTACAGCTGCACAATTCTATTTAGCAATCAATCGGATAAATTTTATCAACGTGGTTAAGATAATAACAGTGTAACGTGCTAGAGCCATGTAGAAATGAACACGATCTTGCACATCCGGTACGTGCCCATGCTCGTACGTAGTCGAACTAACCAGCGAACAAATGTATCAAGGGTTGTGGTTTACTTTAACAAATCGTGAAAACTAGGCAGGATAAATCAAAACCTTACAAAATATGTTCAAAAAAATGAAGGAAAGGTTATGAAACAGGACTTTGCCACGAACAATATAATCGGTGAAACATGAACATGCACACATTTAATCTGAAAGGAAATTCGTATGAAATAAGATAGCGTATTTATTATCGATAATGACTTTTGTACGTGGCGTTGAAATATCATGATGCTCGATCCCTAGTAATTCACTAGTAAATTATCCAGTATTTTATTATCGTTAATATTCCATAGTTCCACTGTGATGTACTGTCACCAGCGTGA